GTGTGTGTGTGTGTGTGTGTGTGTGTGTATGCAGCTCCACCCTGTGGTTAAAATGCACTTTTTAATAGTCTTATTGATGACATTTGTCAGACAACAGACAAATATAATAAAAACAAACAGCAGTTTTTATAAGAACCAGACAAATTGAAGCTGCACCAGAGTTTTTGCCAGCTGGTCAACAGGCGGGAAAAGATAAAAATCAACTCTGTGACACATCATCAAGGCACATGTTTACAATCAACTATCACACAGGCTGTCCAAAGAATTAAACAAACCTACTTGTTTTAATTACATTATTCTTATCCATGGAGGCCGGTGGTAGCTTCCTCCTGTACTTTTCAGAGCTCGTGTCAACAGAACATTATGGATGGAGAGGATTACTGGACAACCAATAGGAATTCCTCATGTCTGTATTGTGATGCAACAAAAATAGTTTGCAAACCCCAGCCCTAGATTTGGACCAGTTTTTAAGAAGACTTTATTTATATTCTGTGTGCTTTTAAATCTGAACATCTAAAGTCCCTCTGTCTTGTCCACAAGAAGAACTGAAATGGGTTTGAGACACCCATAACGATTCTGTGACTATTTTGAATCTAAACTGGTTGGACAATATTTTTTAAATAAGTTCAAAACTCAAGTGACAGAAATTAAGAAACACTGTGACCATTTCAACATTTCAAAACATTTTGGAGACAAATGCTTTTTGCCAACTAGTCCCCAGCAGTCGCAGCTCAGCAAAATAATGCTTTTAGGAACCTTGTAAACATTTTTGTCCAAGTCTTTTAACTTCTATTTAAAACATATCTCTAGAATTGCTCTCTGTCTTCTGCTCAATGTATTTCTAAAATCAGGGCCACCTTGTCCCAAGATGACATTGATTTAGACTGGATTAATAATAAAATGCTGCAGCAAAATGAAACATACAACCAGAAACAACTTACAGTGCCTTTGACGCTAAAAGGAATTTGAATTGCAGAAATGGCTTGATGAAAACATCCAGTTCAGGCCAACTTTACATACACACACATTTTTTATTCAAGTTACAAGACGCTTTCAGACCTCACCCTCCTCCTGATGAGCATCTGCAACAGTGTAGGCATCACTTTGCACTGCTGGCTGTTCAGGGCACCTGGAGGGCAACAGGTCATACAGCGGTGCTGAACCAAGCTCTCTGGACTGGACTTCGTCCTGACTGGATGATACCGTGTCAACTCTGAATAAATTAACAGAATACAGAAACAACAGAGACAGAAAATGAACACAATGTTTCACATTAAACTTGACATTTTGTGTTTTCATTGGCTGTACAGCTGTACTCAACACAAAGGAAGACCTCTTTCAGAATGTATCATCTTAATTCACTGCTGAGTCTTGAATGGATTCGTGGTTAAGTTTAAAACCAGTTTGTTTACTTCACTGACTACCATACTGAACTGGCAGCTAAATCAAAGTGTTGCATATCCAATAAAAAATGTGTGTGGAAGAATGCAGCTTTTTAATCAGAGATGTAGATTATGGAAATATTTAGTCATCAGCAGGTAGAACTAAAGACATACTTTCATTGAAGTGAGGCATTCACCAGTTCCACTTATGAAATTTATTAACATTGGTAAAACTAAAAAAAAAAAAGCAATTTTGTTTCAACAAATCAATTTGCGGATTTTATATTAACCAAAAGAAAAAAAGTTCACATAAAGCTAAATACATATTTATATAACTGACACCCTAAAACCAGTATCTCACTGAGCTGAGACTGTTGGAGACTAGTTGGCAACTAAAATTGTGAGAAAACTGCAAACTCACTGAATCCCAATTGACTGTTACCAAGTAACCAGCGAGCTGTGAACCTACATTTTAAATGTGCAGTATTTTTGTTTTTATTTTAATCACAGCTTGTCAAACGTTTACATTATTTTGTTGTCCACCTCTGAAAATAGTGTACTTCCTTTGACCAGCTTTGTACCGACCTTGGCAGCTTTCCCCACATTTATAATTCAATTTATTAGAATACACTTTAGAACAAAAAATAGCAGATTTACCAGTTTTGTAAAGATTGTTTTTTTCTCATTAGTAGGAGTTTTAGGCATTCACATTTGCCTCCAATGCTTTCTGTCAGAGGACAGCCCATGTGCAAGTGTCCATATTAGGGGTTTAAGAAAATATTGATACACTGAAATATCGTGATATTTCATTTCTCGATACTGTATCGATATTCTTAAGCCCTGTATCGATTTTTTTATTAAGGTTTAAAATGTCAACTTTCCTGCCAGCCGTTCATTTTTGTGTTGTAGTTCAGCCTCTGACCGCTAGCTGGCAGCAGTGAGTCAGCCATTTGGCTCCTCTACCTCTTGAGGTAGAGGCTATTGTTAAGTGTTGGGTGACCATATTGTAAATTAATATTAAAAACTAAAAGCTGCAAAAAATATATTTTCAAACTATTTATTGGCAAATTTAGTCTAATAATTGAAAACATGGATGAAATAAGAAATATGAAACAAACAAAATAAAATACATACAAAGCAGAACACAGCTAAATGTATCAAAAGTATGTCTGTAATATTAGAATTTTCTGAGAATGAATTTTGGTTTTTCATTTTTTTCCCCAGTAAGAGGTTTTGATTTAATAAAATTTTTGCACAAAAAAAAATCGCAATATATCACCTTGCTTATAGTATCGCAATATATCGGGATATATCGTATCGTGACCCCTCTGTCATGATATGTATGGTATCGCCAAATTCTTGCCAATACACAGCCCTAGTCAATATACAGACCTTTCTGGAGACAAGCTAGAGATACAAACAAAAAAGTGAAGGAGAAATCCCCAATAACTGACCTTTTCAAGGAAAAAAAATGTCCATGCAATTTTTTCCACCATGTTGAGAACTCAAGCAACAGAACTGGACATCTTTGCAAAGCTTACAAGGAAATAAAAAGCCGTGTAAATGTTTTGAGGCTTTTTGGTGACTCCCTGTGGAATGCTGTTCACCAACTAGTCTCAGCCCACTGAGAGAATACCTAGCTTTCTGGTACATTTTAGTACATGAGACAATACCTGAATAAAATGACTTAGCAATTATTTAATAGCCATATTTCTTAATGTAATTAAAAACTAGCATAAAAGAAACAGACGGCCACACTGTATGATTCAAACCTAAATTTCAAGTATGAAACAAGTCAACAAACATTTGACTCAGTCGAAATGTTTATTTAGGAAGATTGCTTAATAGTTTTTAATCCAGAGTGAAGGGTGAAATGCAAAAACATTTTCAGCCCTAACTCAATATTTCAAAAGTACTGACTTCAGATAGAAAGATTAGTGGACCTACAATTTTAATTAACCAATTACTGGTTGATAATCAACCAATACCATGTTTATAAATAAATAATTGGCAGTCATCCCTGAACATAAATAATCAATTAAATAATCAATAACCAAGTACAATTATACATTTATAGTGCACAGTGCATTCTGACGGTTGTTAAAATTACAAACAGGCAACTTTTTTGCCCATAAATGAAAAATAACTTACCAAAAAATTGGCTTTGTGTTTCAGCTATCTGCTACCATGATTTCTAAAGAGAGACATCCGCTGTAGAAAATCTCATATTGGTTGACCCAAAATACTGACAAAGATGAGGGCAGTGTGACTCATTTACTACAGTTGTTGTTTGGAAATTAAGATTATGTAGATTTTTTTATTCCATCTTCAGCTTAGACATCTTTAGTGTTGCACAAAATTTTCATGAGTTGGCATAAGTTATCTAAAACATTATAGTGTGACAGGACCTTAACAAAAGGAGTCACCCTAAATTAGAGACAAACTAATCAGTGGAATTTAAGTTTCTGGTGCCATTTTACAGCTGACAACATAAATGTGCAAAAAAGACCAAAGATAGTAAGTAAGTACTGTAAGTAAAGTTTTATTTATAAAGCGCCTTTCACAGAAATATATTCACAAGGTGCTATACAATCATTAACAGTATAAAAATGGTGGAAAGAATAAGATTAAACAGAAAAACATAAGCAACGAAAAATTTAAAACATCAAATCAAAAAAATTTTTTTCTAAAATTGTAAATCAAACACAAGGTCAATGCAGGGCAAAATATACAACAATACACAAAAACATAATGAATGCGGGAGAGAAAAATATGGCGTAAGTTCAATAATTAAAATCACAGATTGATGAGCATTACATTTGAGGTAGGCTGGCATTAATAGTGAAATGGTTAGCTAAACACTTGAGAGAAAAAGTGGGTTTTCAGGAGTGTCTTGAAAGAGACAATGTTATTAATGGAGCGCAGATTAAAATAGAGTTCATTCCAGAGCCTGGGGGCCACAGAGGAGAAGGCACGGTCACCACGGGTCTTAAAGCGAGTGAGGGGAACCATAAAGCAGGCAGTATGGTTGCTCGGCAGTCGACCGGTCGACGCGCCGTCACGTGGTTGTTTGGGGTTCGTTTTCACACATTTCTTTCATAGTTCCAGAGACACCCTGAGCCGAGCTGCTGGGAAACCCCTCCCGCTCCAGCATACGTCACTGCGTGGGATTCCTTCCCCGGGGAGTGCAATGCAGAAAAAAAAAGTCTGCGGCTCTTCACTCGACGTTGTTTATCCACTAACTGGTCCTGGATTAAGTTCCAAAGTTTTATCCGTCAGATTCCACCGTGGAAAATGTCTGTTTTATCCCCTTTTATGAGTTTTTGACCATTGGCCATCTTTAAATCGCTGCTTCCTGGTACAACAGTCAGCTGTGGAAGCGATCGCTTTTTTCTTCTATTTTTTTCCCTTTTTTGAAGCGAGTGGTTGAAGCAAATGCGTCTGAGCGCCTTCAGCACAAACAAAACTCCCACGAACTTCTGACCAATCACACCATACAGTTCGTATGTGTTCTCATGTGGAGGGGGGTGAAAAGTTCGACCCGTGGGTTGCGACAAGAAATGCTGACAATGCGAACAGAAGTGACGCAATTTTCGTCATAAAACTGCGACAGTTCGGCAGCAGCATGCAGGAGCCTTAAGAAGATTTTGTTCTTGTAAGCGGAGGTCCCGTCTGGGGTTGTAAGGTGAAATGAGACTTTTAATGTATTCAGGTGCTTGGCCATGAAGAGCTCTGAATGTGAGGACAAGGATTTTGAACTGGATTCTGAATTGAACCGGAAGCCAGTGAAGTTCTGCTAGGATCGGGGAGATGTGGGTGAATTTGGAGATTCAAGTAAGGAGTCTTGCTGCCGAGTTTTGGACAAGCTGAAGGCAATTTAACTGTTTCTGATTAAGACAGGTGAACAAGCTATTACAATAGTCTAGGCGCCTAGAGATGAAAGCATGAATTACCATTTCCAAGTCTGAAGTGGACAGCAGGGGCCGGAGTTTAGAGATGTTCCGAAGCTGAAAGTAGCAAGTAGAAACCAGATTCTTTATGTGTTTACAGGGGTAGACGTAACCATTGTTTAGGTTGTCCGAGACAACCTATTTTCATTTCGGACAAACTGATCCTGTCTCCTGGTTGTCCGGTGGACAACCAAGAGAAAAAGACATTGATTAAAGTTCTCTGCTGTGGGTGTCCGTCATTTGTAAAAATGAAAGGGAGAAAAAACTTGGTAAAACCGAACAAACACTAAACTGTAACTTTTAATAAGGTCATGTACACAAGATACTCCTATTTAAGTGAAAATGTTTGTCCTATGAGCAGAAAGAAGTTTATGAATGTTGGGTAAGATCTAGATTTTATTAGCGACATTTTTGCTGCTTTAATCCGAGCCTTAAATACTGTATTTCAAAGAAGAGAATGAGGAAGTTTTATTCACGCAGATCCTGTCAACCTGGCTGACTTGAGAACAATTGTATAATAAACTTTGTCAACAGAACAATATACTTGTTAAATTACATTTTTCTTGAGATTTTTTTGGACAACCAAAATATTTTGCGGACAACCAGGTTTTGTCAACAGGTTGTCTGCTGGACAACCTGAAAATATCCTTATGTCTACCCCTGGTTTGTCTAGAGACAGATCTGTAGGGTTGTGTATTGGCAATAATTTGGCGATATGATACATCCCATGACAGAGGGGTCACGATACGATACATTGCAATTTTTTTGTCCAAAAATTCTATTAAATAAAAACCTCTTACAGGGAAAAAAAAATGAAAAACCAAAATTCATTGTCTCAGAAATTCTAATATTACAGACATACTTTTGATACATTTAGCTGTTCTGCTTTGTATGTATTTTATTTGTTTCATAT